ACTTCAACGCCGTCGTTTCATGTCGCTTTCCCACTTTCCCTAATTCTTGTTACTTATTGTTATTTCTCTGCTTTTCAAATTAAAAAGAAAAGAAATATCTCATTTCTTTGCTTTTCAAATTAAAAAAAAAATACAAAATAAAGAATTCTCATTCTCATGTTCTTGCTCTGCCGTGCCGTCTAAGGATCTGCCGTCCCTTGCCGTGCTCCACCGTACTGTTTAAGTCTCATTTTAATTCGGTTTTCTTATTTTAAAATTTATTTATTATGATTTTTCAACTTTTCAAAGATCTAATTTTAAAACTTATCCAATTTTTATCTTTAAATTTTTAAATGGTCTATTTTAAATATTTTTTAGAATTTTTTCTTTTAATTTTCAGCAAATCATCCAATAAAGGGATAATTTGCCAATAAGGACAAATACTAATTTTGTGGAATACATTTTTAAAATTTCAAGGACCAAAATAAAATTTTAATATTCTTTTGTCAGAGTATTGCAAATTTAGTAAAAGATACACCTAATTTAAACTCTTACTAATTGGTTAATTAGTTGAGCTATCATGTTGACAAAAGATTAATTTTTTATTTATTTCTAAAAGTAGTTTAAGAAAATTTTTTATTCAATTTAATTATTTATTTATTAAACTTATTCGAAAAGTAGTACTTAGTAGTGGTAGATATTATAAGAAAAGGCATCACCAGAAGCTCTATAATTGAAGGGTTTTGATTAAAATTCTAATAAATATCATCTGGACTCCAGCATAAGGTCTAATCAAAATAGAAAATTGTCTGAACCAAGACAGAAAAACTAAGAATTAAAAGCTAACAAGGGAGCAAAAGGGAGAGAAGTGATTGTTATGGTGTTTTAGTTTAACACACCATAATGATATGGTGGGATGAATAAATATTACATTGAACAGTAACGTGATGCAACACTTTTGTTCGATCGTGGGAGTAAGATAATCAAGGTTTTAAATGTCAATGTCGAGATATATGTCAATTATCGCTGAACTATGCTCGTTTTTGCAATATGATGTATATATTATTTACATTATGTTTGATATTTTTTTTATATTTTGTCGATTTTTTAGTAATATAATGAAAATGTCGATTTATCTCTCGTGTCGATGTTGAACCGATATAGATACAAAATGAAAAAGAAGGAAAAGAAAAGAAATGAATATTTAGATAAGGAATAATGTGAGAAGAAAGGGCAATCAAGTCAAGCATATATGTTGAAGATATGATATGATATGCTTCATAAGGCAGTGAGGATTGGAAGAAGCAGCTTATATTGGCCAACCAAGTAGAATAAGGAAAAAAGAAAACAGATCAAATCATGTTAAAAGTTGAGACAATTGAATTAATATTTCAAATTACAAAAAATAAAAATAAAAATAAAAAAAATGGTGGAGCGGAGGTGGGACTCTGTTAAAAGGATTTGGTTATCTGCATCTAATTTAATCTGTACCATTCTATCCCTCATCTATTTCTCTTTACACCCAACTGTCCAATCAATGTCAAATCCCCCTCTTTGTTTTTGCCTCACCTAAATCGACTCTTTTTACCATCCTATCAATGGACAATTATTAATTACATTAATTATGTGAGAATTTTTAATTAAAATTTTGATAAAACTTTTCTTTGAATACAAGTTWATGTCTCATCAAATTATTGTTATATCAACATATTGGACGTACAGACAAGTTACTTGAAAAAAGAAATTGGATTTTGTCGATGGATGAATCGGATTCCGAGAGTGGATTTTTCGTGTGTCAAATATCATGGGAGTAGTATGTATGTGTGTCAATATGCTAATAAAACAATATTGATTAGTGATCTATAAACTTTTTCTTTGAAAGAAATTTTAAAGTGGTTGAGGAGACAATTAAGATTATCTAAAATATTAGAGACTATCGTGTATATTTTACTGTTATGTTATGCATACGTTGAAGTTGAAGCAGTACAATCTAATAGATCCTCCCATTTTAATTGGTCATTTCAATTTGAATTTCTCTCTCAGCTTCAATGCGTTTGGTGTTGTGYGCATGTATAAAGCATTCCAACCTAATGGGGTCCTTCAATTTTGGATTCTCTCTCTTTCTCCAATTCAATTTCAAAAAAATAAAAAGGAGGATATAATTCATCTAAGCTAGTTAGTTTTAAAGACACGTGGACTACTACTATAAATCTCATATAGCTAGAATTGCATTGATTAAATAAAGAAGAACAACTATAACTATATCTAAATCATGTGAACAAAATACTGGTAGTGTTATTTCTTATAGGTACGCTGATAAGTTAAAATGTACGTAACGATCCATGAACTCTTAAATACATTGAAAGTGGTTGGATAATTCTAGTTTTAGTCGGCGATAAATACAATCTCATGAAAATATGGTTTTCTTTTCATAAGTTTTGAAAAATATCCAAAAGAGAGAGGGGAAAAAACCCATATGGGATTGATTATGAGGAAAGGGACATGAGAAAGTAAGTCTTCCATTGAAATTGAAGTGAGGTGGGGGATTGGAAAAGAAAAATGAGATGTGTTTGTGGGCTTACTTTTATAGAACAAAACAATGAATCTTTTTTTAGGGACAAGGGGTAATGGACTGATCTCCATCCATTGATAAATGATCTATATTTCTTCTATTAAATCATGTAAAGCAAATTAAAGCAACATAAAATGGGGACCTCCATGAATAATATATAAATAAGCTACATGGTGCTCCACCATTGGTTTGAAGGGGGACACATTTCATTTTTGTTTCCATTCTCACCTCATTTTCATTCTTTGGATTGGATGGCGAAGCATTGAGTTTTAAATTGGACATCCAACACAAAGTTGTTCATGCATCTTTGTTTTCTCCTTCTTGATATTGGTACATGTGTTTTATTGGGTATGGTCACTTAAATGATTTCTAAGGGCTCATTTGGTAACGTTTCCATTTTTTATTTCTGTTTTTTTCTTTTTAATAAAGAAAAATTGAGTTGATTGACCTCAACACCAATGGATTCGAGAATAATAAAACTATATGTATTTTTATTCATATTCGACCTTAATAATTCACATGTATGTTTTAGTTTTTCTCTTCACTCTTTGTTTTCTACAGTACAACAAAGGTGTAGAAGTAAGCATTCGAACCTTCGACTTTTAGAGAGATTACTAATATTTTAATTAGTTGAACTATATATTTCGTTTAAATATTAGTTGGGAGGGAACCATTCACATTTAGACAAGGAGAAAGTGTGGTGAGCATCTTCCATTTTTAGTTAGAAAATTTCACAAAAGGACGAATATGCAAAAATTCAACTTTTACTTTGGGTGCTTTTAATTGGATGCTATTACTTGAAAATGGTTTGTTAGTCTATATTCTCAGAACTAATTTTTATAACTCAATTCATTATATATTGGACATATATATATATATAATTTAGATATTGACATTGAGCAGTCGCATGAGGACTCAATTAAATACTTAGTTTTAATAAATGGAACATATATCTAAATTGCGTACAAGTTATCATCATTTTTCTCTCCTCCATATGAAACTTGAAAGAAAACTCACTCTTCTTGTATAAAAAAGTGACCCCAAAATATTTTTCAAAAATCACATGAAAATATAAATAGTCTAATTAAGAGTAAATTGGGATTTGAAAGTATAAATAATCACGTGGCTCTAGCTAAGAAAAATTCTAATAGATAGTCACTCAAAGTTTTACAGTTTTATAATTTTGACTGGTTTTTTAACTTTGTTGTCTCGTAAAGTCCTTTGAAACCTTTTTTTTTTTTTAATTAATTTAACAAAGATGTATAAGCTGGGTTTAGAAGATTTGAACTTCTACAATAAATACTTAAAAGCCAATTAAATTGTCGCACCGGGCCAAGCCCAAGGTTTTCTTTTGAAAATATTCTGGCCCATCAGATTTAGTGATTAATTGTGGGCTGTCTTCGGTGCACTTAGGCATAGGCCCGTGGGCCAAAAACACGGGTTAAGATTTCAACTTCTAATTTTTTAGTTGAAAATATAYGTCTTCAAGCTATTCTCACCTCATATTTATAGACCAATAATATGTAGACCATGATTCCAACATATGACTCTTTAATTGATAATATATATCTTAACTGTACTTTGGTTGGGACTAAGAGTCCATTTCCTTGAATGGCAGGTTCCAAGCTACACCCTTCTTTGCTACCCAATCATAGATCTTCCAAAGCGAATGAGCTCACTCGATTTGGTTCCAGTCCCGAAAAAACAGCTCAAAGATCGACCTATGCTACTACCTAGCTCACTGTTGTCAAGCACGGGATGACAATAACGAAAACTTCGATACCCAAATGAATTCACCCAAAGCATATCTAATAAAGAAACAAGCGGTGGCTTTCGGGGACGATTTTTCTCTTAACTGTGCAGGAACATGAACAAAATACGTGTCCTTGGTTACGCCCTTGTTGTGTTGGTTCTTCCATATTTCAGGCTTCGTGCAGAACCAATGAGGCATTCTGGCGGACGTGTGCATGTAGGTTGGCACTTCGATGTCAGCCTTTCGCCACTTGGGACTGTACGGAACAAGAAAGGGAAGGAAGCTAGTCGTTGGAGGGAAACTCGATGACAACAATGTTGTCATCGCTAATACCCAAGTTGCTGAGTGCAAAAAATTCAGCCCGATGAAAATTTGGAATTGTCAGGATTCCAATTCTAGCAAGTGTAGGTCATTGAGTTGGTTTAATCAGTTAAGTTAAAGTTATAATTACATAAAATTATTTTTTAAAATAACAATTAATGATAGAGATAAAATGTAGCTGAAAGCAATATATTATTGGCAATAGTTTTCAAATAGTCACAATTAGCTAGTCTCGATTAAACTATTACAAAATTTGACCCAAATGTATTACTTATTTATTTATTGTACTAAAAAAACACTTATTTTTTATTTTTTTTTGAAAAAAAGGTTCATATAAAATGAAAGGCAGAACATGTATAGTCGACCAATGGGTGATCGAAATTTTGCACCTTCGCGATTCAGATTTAGCCACTCCACTTTCGAAACGGAACTGCGGAGCTTCCAAATTTCAATAGGAAATTGAATTGATACACCATTGCGAACTCACCATTTTCGGACGGAAGCTTGCGAGAGGTTTTCACTCCCAGGAGAAATGCAGAAGAAGAAACCGGAGACTGCGAACAAGAGCCCTAAGAAGGCAAATCTTTTGGACCACCACTCCATCAAGCACATCCTCGACGAGTTTGTCTCCGAGGTCATCTAAAGCCCTAATTCTCTTCATCTTTCACTTCCTTTTTAATTTGTCGGCTGTTTTAGTTTTGTGCTTCCTGTTTTTATTTGTTTTAACTTCGATCTCAGATTGTGGCAAGTCGTGGATATAAGGAAGATGTGAGGATGAGCAATGCTAGACTGCTGATTGGTACTGTTGTCATAATCGTCGCTCTTGTCGCTCAGTTTTATAAGAAGAAGTTCCCCGAGAATCGCGATTTCTTGATCGCTTGCATCGTATTATATCCTCAATCTCAGTTTTTCTGACTAATTCTATGTCATGAACTAATGTTAGAAGATCAGTGATTCTATTCTTCCTATACTTCATCTCCTCAAATTTATTTGAAACTTATAATTCTGAAGATTTGCATCTGAGCTCTGCTAATATTCGGTTGTCGGTATTTTGTTTTAATTCATCAGTTACCTTCATGTCTAGACCTTAATTCTAGAACACACAATGGAACAGTATATAGAACGTATAATTACACTGAACGTTTTGTTATCAATACCTTCTAATGTGTCCCGTGGTAGTTGGCTCTTTAACTCTGGCAAGTATGTAGTCATCAACGTTTTACTGCAGCTAATTGGGTACACAAAGGAGAAGGATGCAATTTTGTTCACATATCCTCCCACTGTAAGATTCTGTTATTGTTATTGTTATTATTATTTGCCATTCCCTCCTAAATGTAGAGTATTCATGCTACGCTCGGGATGTTCTTACAATCAATTTTATTTTTGGTGTAATATATAATGCATTAATTGGTTTTCAACTTCGAACATGTGCAAAATTGCTCTACGTGTTAACTTGACGAAATGAGTTAATATGGATTGTCTCCAATCAGAGGGAATTCAAGGTCAAGGATGAAGTTACTGAGTCTTGAGACACGGTAGTATAGAGCAGGCTAATATGTTTTTAGCACTTCGGTTGACATAGTTTTTATTATCTCTTTCAAATTACAGTCATTAAGGATTAATATTTGGTAACTCTGCGGTGTCAATTCTTTGGTTCTACAATGGACTGAATTATGGTGTTCTCTTTCTGTTCTTTAGAGAGGCACTTTATTGGATCGGTTGGAAAAGTCAGAATGGGCTTATTAGGTTCTCTGTGATGCAGTAGCTCGACACTCTACCTGTTTGTTTATAGTAGTTTTTCTGGACATTCATCATAAGGTTAAATCCTGAGAATAGACTTGATTTTACCAGTTTATAGTGAGTTCTACTTTTATAATGGGATGTGGTGGTGGATTTGCCATCTATTTTTCTGGCCATTCTTAATAGTAGGACGATAAAATGTGGGGGAGACAACAGATTGATAATTAAACCATTGATTTCCTCTCTTTTAAAATAATAATCTCGTAGTCTTGGACTTTTTTTGGGCGTGTTTTCTTATTGTAGTTCTCACTAGATTCTCATGATAAAGCTTCTTCCTACATTTTCTTTCAGTCGACTTCAATGGATCTTTGGAAATAAGCTATTGTAGTCTTTGTTAGTTACATGGTAATGGGTGTATTAGTTTTATCTGCTATTCATAATATGACTATTGACACTGCTACAAAAAGCTTTCAGAAATTGAAATTGTTAAACAGCCTCTATGTTCATTTGGCAGGGATCCTTTACCAGCACAGGATTGGTCGTTTCTTCAAAACTATCCAGATTTTCTGACTTGTACACACTGACTATATCCAGTGCTGATCCAAAATCAATCTCTGCAAATAAGCCGGTTCACTTTACCAAAAGTGTCACTCAGTGGTCTCTCTCTCTCTTCTTACAAACGTGCATGCATACTCTTATTACATCATTTTAGAGTGTCTAAGTTCCCCTTCTGCATTAACTCACTTCTTAATTCTTATAAACTTGCAGGTTTACAAAGGAAGGCATTATGGTCGAGGGACTTTTTCGGAGAGAAGTAGAGATACTGATTGATGAATATGCAAGAGAACCGAAGAAGACGGAGTGATTCAACTTGCTTCACGACCGATAGGTTGGTAGTTTGGGGCGAGGAAAGAAACAGCTTTATTTGCTAGAGGATGTTACTATAGACAGACCCTTTTCATTGTTGTGGGTCACTACCATTCCTAACTTCCATAGGAGGAACCTTTTTGTCTCGTCTCTCTGACATAACTCTGGTTGCAATGGAATTTGGTTACAGTTTGGCTTATGCCACCGTACTTCAAACAGGGGYGATGAACTATTATAGCGCCATACAATGAAGCTCTGGATTGAAATAAGGTCTACACGTCCCACAGACGAGGAGGAGCCTATCATTTTCTATATGGTATGAGTATTTTCAATATTTTTAATTCTATCCTTCTTTAAATTTTAGATTAAGTATATTATTATCAATTTTTAATATAGAATAATATTTTGGCTTAAATCCTATTTTGACTCTTTGGACTTTCAAAATTTTTATTTTAGTCTTTAAATTTTTAAAAAATAGATCTTATCCTTGAATTTATAGAATGTTTAGTTTAATCTCCAAATTCTGAGAAAAAATGATTATTTTGGTCATCGTCATTGATTATTTTAATAGATCAGTCTGAATGCTTATTTTTTTTTAATGTTTTATTTCGATAGTTTAGGGATCAAAATAAAATAAACTTCAAAATTCAAAAAATATATATAAACCTAATTTTATCTATCAATGCAAGACTTTTTCTTAGACGTACACTAAATAATTTTTTATGCGTGTACGTGATTGCACCCTACGGAAAGTTATCCTACAATTATTTGGAAAAAGGAAACTAAGGTTTTAAATACGCTTTTGGTCTTCAAATGCGCATTTATTTATTATTACTTTAGTCTCTAGGTTTTAGAAAGTTGGATTTGGTCCTAAAACTTTCTTTTTCACCTTTTGTTTTGGTCCCTTAAATTTTAGAATTTTAATTAAATCCTACATATAGGTCCCTATTATGAATGTGATAGCGTGGAGAGATACAGACAAGCAATGAAATGGTAGAAATTAAATGTAGAGTTTAATGAAATTGGATCAAAATCATATTTTAAAAAGTAAAACGATTGTATTGAAAAGTGGGTATAAGTTTAGGATTGAAATAAAATTTCCAAGAGTTTAGGGATGAGAAAAAAAAAGTGTTGAAGATTAAAATTGTACTTAAATTATAAAAAATAATTTTAAAATGCCCTAGACTAGACCAAGCCTACCCTGCACCATTTCCACCCCTTTTTGTTTTTTAAACAACGCCTTTTCCACTCTTTATTGGCGTGGAAAGCAGGAAATGTGGTTTTCGAATTGAAGGCTTCTCTCAAAAATTCATTTCGTTTTAGTTAATCCATTTTATGTTGAAAACTTGGAGAATATTTTTCTCATTTTCTTTAAGCGTGTAGAAATTCGAACTTACGTAGAGATGTGTTCTAACACTCTCTCTCATTTTCTTGTTCTGTCTTTTTATTTTCTTTCCCCTAAAAATTATTTTCGGTTACCTAAGGATGTTGCATGGTGATTTGGACCAAACTAAAGGGTTAATGAATGATATGCCTCTTTGTTTTGTTTTCTGATTTTTGAACTATATTTTGAAATATGCGTCTCATACGGGCCTAAAGTTTATGCATTTAAAACCCATTGGGACCACCCACACGTGCCAAATATTAGCTCTCTAAAAATGTAGACAAAATACATATTTTAGTTAAGTTTAAATCATTTTTTTAGTCCTAGAATTTTAAAATATTTATTTTAGTTCTTAAATTTTTAAAATAATAACAATTTTAGTTCTTTCTATTATTTATTATCAAATTATTCTCCATCTGGTATGTCCGCATTTGCATGTTGATATAGACCTCTAAATTCTTGTATTTACTTGTTAAATAATTTATTAATAAAAATATCAAAATAATTATTTTTAAAAAAGAGTTTAGGAATTAAAATAAATATTTTAATAATTCAGAATTAAAACAAGCTAAAGAACCAAAACGAGACATTTGTTTAATATTGTAAACTTATTCTATATAGAGGCATATCTTTTTCCAGGACGATGACCATCCCATCGCATGCCCGAATATTCTTTCTATGCAAAACACATATTCCACCATTTCCTCTCCCCACTCTTTTTCACTGTATGATATATTGGGAAATCATAGGTTACATTGTAACAATGATCCTAAAACTCGATAAGTTTTAATTTTTGGTTTATTTTATTTATAAAAAATTATAAACATATCAATTTAATTCAATATTAGAAATTAGAGTTCCAAATTTTAATGAAGATTTCAGGTTTTTTCTATTTTTTATTTTTTTAAACATGCCCATTTTGATAAGATATATCGCCTTAAAATTATGTTCACGTTGATAGTAAAAAGTGAAGATTTAAATTTACAACCCTATCACTTTTACTATTAATATCTATCAATTACGAATTGAATCATATTCATGTCAATTATCATTATCTTATGCTACTAATTTTTTACAAATTATTTAATGTTACCAATTGATCAAAATTTAAAATATAACCAAATATTATGATTAGAGCGGGGGCTGGGATAGGCAGGCCGGTTTGGCTTATTACAGCAGCGGTTCATTTTTGCTTATTTATACACAGCGTGGGACCCACATTCTGATTTTTTTTTTGGTAGGCAGGCAGACTTTTCGACTTAATTTAATAATACTAAAGCAAATCAAATAATTGCGAGCTTGAAATTTTATATTTTTACATGTCCTTTTCATTTTAAACTGGAAAAAAAAAGCAAAACAATAATTTGAAGAATCAATAATTTGTTTTTGCTCCTCTCGGCTTCTCCAAAACGGGCCTCTGCCAGTTTTACGGATAAGCAATGACGTGGCCAGTTGGCTCCTCCGAAAACGCTGGGTGGATCTCGGATGGCCGTCAACCCTACAATCCCGTGGGGCCCAGCTGACGTGTGATCTATGCAATCGCTCACCGGATCTCAAACTGTCTTATTTTCGGAATTTTATATCCCCCTTGAAGTCCGCGAGGCAGGTCTGTTTTACCTCCCCCACACACCCACCAAAATATCTATCCATCTCTTGCCTCTCGCCTTCTATATATGTCGGTCATTGCGACGCCTACCCTTTCCTTCTCTTCATTTGCCTTCTGCTGTTTGATTTGTTTATTGCGAGATTGATATTTGATTCGTCTTCTGATTTGATTGCAAAATTCTCTCGGATTTCAGTTTGCTCTTCTGAATATTTCTTCCCTTTCGTTTCTATTTGCTTCGTGGTGTTTGTGGCGTTCGGCTTGTTTTGGAAGTGAATTTCGGTGCGACGGAGAGCTCAGGACTTTGAATCTACCTGCGATAATCTCTAATTTTTTTCTATATTCTCCTCATTGGACGAAGCTTTTTTAGGTTTCTCGATGTCAAACCCTAGAAAAGACGAGTCGATTGCCAGCAACGTTAACGATGGCGCCGATGGTGCCGATCGTGATAACGTGCAAGAATTCGGGTACTCGTCTAATGGTGTCGAGGTTTCTGGTGGTCCGCATGCTTCAACCAACGAGATTAATCTTACGGAGCGGTTGACTGATATTCTTGTTGATGAAGGAGATGGCGATCTGTTGCTTCAGCAGAGCGATCGGGAAGATAGGGTTATACGGTGGCTTCAGGCGCTTGATATGCAAGTCATGGGTGCTTGTCGGGCCGACGAAAGGTTGAAGCCGTTGCTTAAGATGTCTACGTCAAGCGGCATAGCAGAGGATCGCCTTCTTGCCCAATTGAGTCAGGTTTGTTCTTAAATATGTATTGGTTAATCTGTGAAATTTTAATATATGGCGAATTTTTAACTGTCGACGATAATTCACTGCTTTATATTCCATGCTCGTTCTGCGGTTCTACATAGGAAACCTGGTGCCGATGGAGATGTCATGGAATCTGTATTTGGCGTGAGTAAAAAAGATTGAACGATTTTTTTTTTAATTTTTATTTCTATCGCTTCAATTAGTGTTCTTCCCTCGTCGTTTTACAATCTGTCTTTAACAAGCTGGATTAATGGTCGTTATGAGGTTCTACAGTCTCTAGTTCTGTGTCTTTCGTTATACTTTTTCCTGATCCGATCCTTCTGTCTTTGTAACTCAGCATTTTGAGCCGGTTGAAGTTGGCATTCTGGCAAGGTGTTTCTGTATACCTCTCGTCTCGGTTCGTGTTGGAAAAATTGAAAAGCGAGGATCACTTCTTTGCCCGACGACTACAAGGTAATTATTGGTGCGATTGTTGGTGCTCTCCTGCCTATTATATTGTCCTTGAATGTTAAGTATAAGCGTCCCTCTGATCAGAAGCAAAATAAAATAAGAAAGGGATGCATGTATTTACTTGGTTGAGTTTAAACCGGTATTTTTTTAAGCTATTATTTTGTTTGACTGAGAACATTGTAATGGGGCGAGGATATGAGAAATTTTCTTTGGTGCCTCTTGGTGCTCTGCCAATTTTACAATTCTTTTTATTTAGTAGAAGGTCTATGGTATTTCATTTTTCCAAATTATAACTCAGAATAATCTAATTTGCAATGTTCATTTATAATCCATTCTTTGGATTATCTCTTGAAAGATTAGAAGACTTGCCACCATAATTTCCAAAGGATTATCCAGTTTAATGCAATTGTCGACTTTGAGTTCCTTGTCCTGTTTCTTTGTATAATGTATTTGTTTCTTGCTTGAATTTGTATGACTTTGAAATTTGAGTAGTTGCCTTACTAATTTCACTTTATTAGGATTCATAGGTGGGACAGTTTTTATTAATTAATTTATTTTGAAACATCATTCGTTTGTTCATGGTGTTTTCTTCTCCTTTTATAAGGGATGCTTGATGTCTAATGATTGCTCTTTCACCGAACATTTTTGCTCATATTGCCTTACAGAACCTTATAAATTATTATATGATAAAATACTGCAACACCAGCACATGTAGGGTGAGTCCCCATGCTGACCCCACTCTTCTGGGGAGGGAGGGGGAGCTGCCATGCTTCCTTTCATGTTTACTCTTGTGTATGCTCATGACCATATATATCTAGCCTATTGATCATTTTTAGTGGGGTGGGGTTTAACTAGGATTTTTAGTAGTAGTCCTTTTACTTCTATGGTATAACCATCTAATGTTACTTGAAAGTGTGTAATTAGTAACAATTTATAGATTTTAGGACTCTACATGTTAGCTTGTTAACAGTAACAATGTTCATTCTTCCCAATAAATATATCTTTTGGTTTGTAGGTAAAGTGGGCGTTTTCTATTATGATCTCTGAATTATGAGGAAGTAAAGGTAGTTTCATGCTCTTATACTATAATAGCTTCCTTCTGTTTTCTAGTTGCATAGGATTGCAGCTTAATTGAAATGGAATTGTTTGGAATGGGTGTGAATGTGATGTATGCTGAATTACTGAAATTTTCTAACTATTCAGAACTTGTTACTCTTTCCAGCACCATTTATCTTATTGTTTTTTTCAACATATGTTGAATCCTTTTCTGTTGATCAGAGCCTTATAAGCCTAACCTGTTTGTTAGGAGGAAATGCAATGATTTTATAATTATTCTCTCTTGAAGAAAGTTTTTGCTTATCACCAGATGCTGATATTTATTTGTACTCTATTATTTATATAAAAAAAATTGTGCTTTTATATATTGTCAATCACCATGTAGAAAGCTTGTGTGATTGTTTTTGTTGTTAGAAGGGTGAGTTAGATTTAAGGTTTTGTTTTAAAGTGAGTCATAACAATGGAAGAACACCTTGACCCCTTTGTATCGAAGCTTCTCCTGGTTGAGTGTTGGTATCTTTCTGTGAGTATCTCCTTAGGCAGCTGCTTAGTTCTTTTATTTGATAGGTTGGTTGAAAATTTTCATAGCGTTCTCAATAGGAAATTAGCTAATAATAAGATAGGATGTAGTGGTTTAGTGTACTCTAGCAGTGCAGTAATAAGTTATTTCAATTGACTTAATGGACTCTAGACGGTGAGGATCTGGTTATAAATAGATAGATAAGATAGATATTGAATACATGGCTGCTATCTGGATCTTTCCTTTAATCGAAGGATCTTATGAATATTTTGGTTTTTTTTATTCCAGACTTTTTTGGTCCTCTTATCTTGATTTCTTTTACCTCCTCTGTTATTTTGATTTTACTATTAAGATTTAGATTGGTCACCATAGATATTGGATTTTTTCCCTTCTAACAATCTATTTTCCAAAATATCACAGGGGAAACTTAAATCTAATGATCGTACCATCATCCGACTTTCGACTCTCATTTATTGGGGATAATGGCCACGTGGAGAGACTATTCACTCTAAGCAACAGAGTGTCCAGTACGGCCATTATAATTGATGAGATCCGATCTGATCAATCTGGGCGTTCATTTGTTATTAAAGCTAATGATCAAGATGTCTATTTTTGGTGCTCAGAGAAATCAAAGCTCTTGGGAATGGAACTACTTCTGAAGGTATTTGTACTTCTTGCATGGGATCTTAATGCTAAGTAGTTGTTCTGTTGTTTGAATTACAGATTCAAAAGGTATGTATAATATGATGTGCTTAGCTCGATGGGTTTCTCAGATAGGAGATGTTTTTCTAACACTTATTCGTGTGAAGATTATGTTGGTAGGGGGAAACATGCAAAGCTTTTATGTGATTTATTTCTTGATACTATACATAATCATGGGTTTCTAGTGCTGACTGGATGTATATTTAGAGTAATTTTTGTGTATTGGTTGGTCGCATATATCCTTATGTTGGTTCTCCTTTTCCACAGATGAAAGATTTACTGCAAAGGAGACCCTCTATTTCTGAATTGACTGGAATCAGTGAGTCACGTCTTGGTTGCTTTGCAACACGCCTTCGTGCCTATCTTGTGGAGTCAACTGTTAGCCACCATCCAGCTAGTTCTGCAGACTCGCATTCTTTGGTAAATACCACAAGAGAACTATCTCAGGCATCTCATTTTGGACAATCATCTGCATCATCAAAATCTATGCGGTCAAGAAATTCTGGTAGTCCAGCAGTTAAAGCAAATTCTGCACACCAGGGTAGTCTTAGCCCCAGGTCTAATTCATTTAAAGAAGGCCTTCCTAAGACGTTGGTTTCTCTGAGAGATGCTGCTAGGGAAAAGTTCAGGAGGCGTGGAGACAACTTGGCCTTAGACAACCATATTGTTGGTTCATCGCTTGGCACTGATGCATTTTGTGTTCATTCTGAAGCTCCAAATACCGATTCAAGTAATCCATTATCCCCCTCGAATATTTTGGAATCATTTGGAAAATTAGCTGCTCCAGCTCCCGCAAGTTCATCTCATGCTCCTTGTGTAGTTTCACCTCTCTTTACTCCTTACTATTGTTGGTGTCCTCCTGGTGCATCATCAATTCTGCAGCGAAGGGAAGAACCTTCTCAACTCCCCACCTCATCCATTAGTTCATTTTCTCTTCCACCTTTTCCTTCGCTGTTGCCAGTAACTACATCTGCAAACTTGTCGGTTCCAGCATCACCTTTGAATTTAGTTGATGCTCCGTCAGTGGATTTCCCTGCTCTATTTCCAGAGCCATTGGTCCATTTGCCTCTAAAAACCTCTCAGCAGATCCCGACCTTTACTCCTTTATTCTGTGATCCAATTGTTCATGTTCCTGTAATTGATGTTTGCTCTTCGGGTCAAGGATACCTTGTTAGCGCGGGCCCTACCATTTCAACCTCCATTCCGCCACTGCATCCTAAACTAGTGAACCCAATGATACCTGCTACTGATGTGGAAAAGGATGCTAGAGAGACTCTGCGTCTGCTCATCAGTGGTTCAAGCCAGGGTAACCCGCAGTTGATGAACGTACTCCCTGTTGTTCTAACAGATACAGAAGCAAGTCAAGGTATATTTTTAACTGGAAGCCGTGGTCTGTATAGTAATGCACGAGACATCGACGCAATTGCAAACAGTATTGCTTCTATTGGCATTGTGTCACTTCCAGGGCAATCCACAAGTGAGAATGTTGGGAAGAGATTTAACATTGACGATTTGAGTGACCATCCAGATGACAGCAGTGATTCAGAAAGCTCTTGTTTTGATGGTGGCAATGAGCAGTCTCACTCCAAGGAAAGGATGTCTGGTTGATAGAAATTTTACCTACATACATTCGTTTCTTCTTTGTAGATCTTGGTCGCTTTTGTTGCCTTCTGGTAAAATGTAGATATGGTTGCCTTTATATTTTGAGTCCTAATTAGCATAGGTATTCACCAAAAGAGGTTGGTGAGTTCTTCGTTCTCTCTTTTGTACGTCAATAGTTTTACTGCCTATCTTGGTATATGTTAGCGTATGAGTTCTTCTCAATTAATTGGTTTGGCTAGTGTTCATGTTAGCGTAGGTCTTCAACAAGAATGCTAGTTATTTAGATTAGAAAAACACTTACTCGTGTTGACGTGCGGTTTGTTTGGGATACATCCTTTGGAATTCGAAAACATCAAATTCTGTTATTCTATCAAATCCTGAGCTACAGATTCCAGAATCTCATTCTGCCATCAGTCTGGAGTTTGGTGATGGTTGATTGCAAGAGTGTTTTCAAATACTTTGTTCTCGCTCCACATCTAAAAACTAGGCAATGACATATTATACAGACAAGCCAAACATCGCTAGTTAGGTCCCCTTTATCATATTTGGAAACGACGCTTTAATCATTGCGTGACATGAAAATGAAAAGTAAAATCAAGATTTCCATTTTCTTTCGTCAAATTAAAGGCTGCAAGAATCATGAAATTGGTGTGGAAGAAAAATGAGTTGAGATATTAATATCACCAATTTCTTGATCGTGAACGCAAGTGCGAGTTCCGGCAAGAAACTTTTAGTTTTAGGTTGCTTTCCAGATTACGTGCCTCTTCTAGCACTAGATAATCGGCATTATTTTATGGTAGGAATACAACATTTTAGGTCGATCACAATAAAGTCATGAACGATAGCGAAGTCAAGTCGTATAAAGGTGCATGTGAAGTACGCTGATCTTCATATATATATTTCTCAAACGTCTAAAATTTGGTACCTTAACAAAATTTTAATACTTTTGAAATTTTCAATTTTATGTCTAATACACTAGTAAATCTAGATATTTATGTCAAGAATATCCTTGAGTATTACAACCAACATATCACACAAGTATTTAAAATCTTTAAAGAAACTTTACTCAAAACTAATAGTTCATGTTTTTCCTTTCTTTCTTGTAAACATGGATTAGACCTGCACAATATTAGATGTTCAAAAGTTTTGTTTTTTAAATAAAGGAGCTCAACAGACATTAATATATATATATATATATATATATATATATATATTAAAATTCAAAGGCTAACTATTATTTTTCTTTTAAGTTCAATAATTATTACTCAGTGTAATCGACACATATCTCAAATTAAGAGGTCCGTACCTCTACCTGTATTAAAAAAAAAAGGTTCAACAATTATAGGAGGAGGATCACATCATTTGATCAGATTATTATTTAGGTGTAGGTGGGCTAAATGGTACATTAMAATTCAAAGGTACATTGTTTCTTAATTTAATTTTGTGATAAATATATATCAATTGGTCAAAACAATGGCCACTTTTATTTTCAAAAGTTCAATTTTCCACCCGGTTAACTCAAAAAATTAAAATAAATAAAAATACCCATTTTGACATAAAACTAGAAATGAATAAATCAAACATAAGATCAATCCTCATATAGCAATTCTTCACATTCCATTACCATCAAACAAGGAAACTACTGTTTATTCTTCAATCTTCACTTAGTGAATCCGCTTCCTTTTTTTGAAGCTCTTTGAAAACAGAGTAAGAACAAAACCTAGCACCGAGGAAGATCGCTGGGCGGCGGCTGCAAAGACTCGTCTGGGCCTTTTCCATTTTCCACCAGAAACGCCATTCTCAGTCCCCACGTCGTGTGTACTTCCAAATGGCAATGCAAGAACCAAACACCTGAAAAGAAAAAAAAAATGGAGTTCAAACAAAATAATTTCAAAGTTTTCAACCAAAGAAGAAGAACACGAAACAGGGGAACAAGCTTTCTCTTCACCTGGGTTATCTGCTCTGAATCTAATCGCAGTCCACCCCCCATTCGGCACTCCAAAAGTGTTCCTCTCAACCGGGTCAACAAGATTGAACCCTTTTGGATCCTCAATCGGGTCGAAATTCCCCGATCCCTTCCCCACCACGAACACATTATACCCATGTAAATGTACAGGATGACTCTCAGGGGCAATCACAGCAGTGTCCTGAATCACCAATTGAACCGTCGAGTTATAAGGCAGCCTATAAACCTTCGTCCCATTCGTAGTCTGAATGTTTGCCGGCGGGTGACCCGTATAATCATAAACAAACGGCGGATTCCCCGGAAAATCCTCTGTGAAAACCCCTCCAATTTTGTAGTAATGCGATTGAAGAATCGCGATTTTGGGCATCACGAACGTCACATTATTAACCGCCGCCACGATTCTCCTTCCATTGACGCAAGTCTCGCAAGGATTAACCCCAACCCCAATGGTGAAAAACAGAGCACGGTCGATGAACAGCGGGACCTTCGCTGGGTATTTCTGTGAATTGAGGCTTTTAAGAGAGTCGATGAATCGATCCGTTAAATGGGTCGAGTTTTGAGGTGGAATTTGGGTCAATACAGTGGGGGAGTTTTGGAGGGTTCCCTTGTATCGGAGAAGGGCTGTGGCTGTGGAGTTGTCGATTGGAACAGGGGCATCCATGAAAGGGGAGGCTGAAATCAAGTAGTTTCCGAGAAATTTGTCGGCTGTGAGAAGGGCGTTTGTGGTCTGGCCGGGGCTTATGAAAATGGTGTCGGTTTTGAAAGGTTTGGTGTAGGAGGCGTCGACTTCAACAATGGTGAAATCATGGCCTGCGATTTTGAAGAAGAAATCTTCGTTCAGTGCTGCGTTTATGATGCGGAGAAGATAAGTTTTTCCGCTTTCGACATGTAATACGAAGCCTCCTCCTGCACATCCAAATGGGATCTCCTTGTTATTTGAAAAACAATCGGAATTCAAGAGCAATTTTGGGGGATTTTGGGAATTTGTTCACCGTCGGTAGCGCAGCCGGGAACAGGGCCTGGGTGGCCGTTGATTGTGTGGGCGTCCGATACGTTCGGCGGCAGACCCGATTTTGTACTCTCGTCGACAATGGCCTCCACATCGGCTTTCCACCATTCACCTATGAGAGCACGAGCAACAGAAGTTTTAAGATCGATGTTGTAATCTGTGAATCAGATTCATGTATTTGATTGAAATTTCGAAAACCCAAGTGACCTAAGATAATGATCTTCTCTTTATGAGGTTTGGGGAAAGGGTACGGAACGCCGAGCTTGGGGAAGATGACAATGGCGCCGTGAACTGTGGCTCTGATCCAAGATATATGAGCATGCCATAGAAGAGTTCCTCTTTGGGCGGCGAGAGTAAAATTGTAGACGAAATTTTGGGCGGGCTGAATCGGGCACTGTGTTACATACGCCGGTCCGTCGGCCCACCCGGTTCCGAGTTGCCGGACCCCATGCCTGTCATTATTCACCAAAATTTTGGTATTAGATTATAAATTTATTTCATCAACTTTGTCACATCAATTTTTTTAACTCTTCCAAAAGTATATTGTTAATAATTCAACAGTAATTGACATATATAGTAATTGACATATATTTCTAATAGAYTGTGAGTTCAATACTCGACTCTTACATATTGTAGTTAAAAAAAGAAAATTTCTAAATATTAAGTAAGTTAAATAATTCATATATTAAACTCGGGCAATTTAATCATTATAATGTGGACTTTTAGAATTATATTCTATTTAGTCATTGTATTTTAAGTTGTTTTTGATAAGTTTTTACAGGTTTAATTTTGTGTCAAGTCTCAACCATATATAGTATGCTGATTAAATGTATTGTTTGAAGATTCAACCATAGGGCCAATGGAATCCTATACACAAATCAGTTAATAAAATAATAGAAATTTTTTTTATTGGATCGCTTAAGTTGTATAGCTAAGAACTCTTGAATCGTTAAGAATAATAAGTTCTTCCTATTATCATAATAGAATAACCACTTAAAATAACGAAATAATTACAATTGGTCGAGAAGTGCAAAATCRTATGGATATGGTCCTCATTGTGCGTGTTGATCAATTAGATCATTTCTTCATAGATTCCGATACCAAGCTATTATGTAGATTTTTTTTTATTATTTTAACCTAGATTTTGAAAATATTTATAAAGAATTAATAGATTGCGATACCAAGCTATTATGTAGATTTTTTTTTTTATTATTTTACCTAGATTTTGAAAATATTTATAAAGAATTATATAACAAAACAAAGAACACATGATTTTTAAAAACTGAAACAAAGACTTCAATGATTATTCAAGAGAGCAATAGATATCTATTAGTAATTTTTTAAAGTACAGAAACTAAATGGACATTGGGATCAAACATTTAGTTGTTATATAATTCAGACCAGTGGATGGTAAGATTGTGGTGAGCTCGGTTGGTGACTCTAACAGTGATAGTATCATCCTCTCTTGCATATAGAGTTGGTCCCGGAAACTGGCCATTTACCGTCATAATAGACTTGCTTTCACACAACTTCCTTTCATTCTTCAACATAACCTGTAGTTGCACCACACAATTTCGTAAATTCCTATAATATTTTTATCATTGATGAAAAATGAAGAAGAAGAAGATTGAAACTTACTATAAAGTTGTAATGACGAACAAGAGATTCAACAACAGCGGCACCAGACAAGGCTATAATAATTATCAAAATTATGTTTCTCATCTCTCTTTCTCTCTGATTAATAGTTGGCTAGTGGTGGCCTTGCATCAAGTTTATAAAGCAAGAAACTTGGATGTGATGTCCTTTTTAACATGGCAGGTGAGACATAGAATTCAACATTTTAAAAATACTATTATTGGATGGTCATGTAAATCGATCTTCTATGGAAGGTTTCAAGTATAATACCTCATACCTAATGAGTCATACTTTTTAAGACCTCACTCAGACTTCAATCCTAATAAAAGACTAGACCAAGGTATCAAATGTCTATAAATACATTAAAAAAAACAYCATGTTGTGAATTTCGATTGCTTGTCTTGAGAACTTATTTGATCAGATTCTACTAAGGTGTAGCCCTGTTTTATACGAGATTACGTGCAAGCAGTCGAGTTTAACACTTAAACAACTATTTAATAATAATACTAATAATAATAGCCTTTTGCATAAATTGTGGGTATGGTAGCCATTTTCAGTTGATTTTACATTTATGTCCCAAGTTGAAACCTACTTTGCAGCTGCTCCCACCCATCTGTCTCTCTCATTCTAGGCAGCCACCCCTTTTTGGTTTTGGCTAATCCATCGATCCATAAATTTTAATTTGGACATATTCTGCCTATGATATAATTAGGGTTATTACTGATAAGAGTTTCAATTTATTTAGACAGTGTAAAATAGGGTTCATTTATTAATTAAGATTTGCTTTTAATAAATTTTTAATTTTTTTATTATCAATATTTCTATTTCTATTGACATTTCGATAAAATYGAAAACTCGTTATATATATTCATCGACATCACCTCATGGCGTGTAAYTCCCAACCTCTCTATCATCTTTTACTTTAACTAACCCATTATTAGTTTACATTACCATTCCTTTCTTATTACTCTTCCTCTTTCTTTCTCTTTCTTTTTAACCCATATTTTCCTTATTACCATATAAATCTTTTTGTTTTTTCCATTTTTGTTTTTCGTTGCTTCTGGGAGAGTGGTTGAAAAGGGAAGTCCCAACTTTTTCTTATTTTCATATGTCACARAAGTCTCTCTCACAGTTATTTTTCCGTTAGTAATATTCTTTAATCTTTTTTCCCCTAAACATTATACTTTATTCGTTTCATTATTCGAATGTTAACATGATTTCTTTATGTCATTTAATGAAATATAATTTGAAGTAGAAGAATCATTGTATAGATCTTTTAACAATATGATTTGAAGGAATTAAAATTAGAGACAAATAAACCATACTAGTATTCATTGAAGTTAAAGTATAATTTAATCGGTTAAAACACATCCTTATCGTTCAAGTTCACACCCCATTCCCCACCCTACAAAATATATATATTGGGTGCATTTGTTGAGAGGAAGAGGCAAAAAGAATTCCATGTTGAATATTAATCTCTGTCAAACAGTTGTAGGAAGTTACAACAAAATCAAATTAAAATACATCTAACAGCAAATGCTTTAAACAATTATATATACAATAAATAAATACACACAAAATTTTTAAAAAATTAGAGATAGATAAGTCTCTCATACAATATGATTATAATATCCCAAATAAATGGGTACTAAATAGTTTGATCAACCGTTAATTCGAACCTAAGTTAATGGATAAAATAATTTTTAGCATTTCTAAAATCAATTGTTTGATCTTCCACGAACAACTTTGTAATTGCTGAACACAAACAAGAAGAAAAAAAAAAAGAAGAAGAATTTGATCAACCCAACCCAAATTATCAATGCTAAATTAGATTATAAGTTTGCTTGATTATATTTAATTGGTTTATGTTTCGATTAAGTTGAAATCTACCTGAATTAGTTTGGTTAGTGGCTCTAGTTTACATTCAGATGAGCCAACGGAAATTTAATAATTCAGAATTTTCTTTTGATAATGATAATAAAGTATTATTTGTGAATATATCTCTTTAATTTTAGTCTCATTTCATTTTTTTAGTACAGTTTCATTTCATTTCGCACAATAGCTTTTAAATTATTTTTACTTTCCCAACCACTTTTATAAAATATTATTATAAGTCCTTAGTGCATTAGTTTTCATAATAACAAATACAACCTCATCAAACCACCTATTAAGAAATAGAATAGGTAGATTCTTAAATTTCTATTTCTTTTCTTTTTTAATACAATTTTAAGAAATTGACAAAAATAAAATCAATCCAGACCAAATAATATTCGATTGAATCTCATTAATCACCTCTGGGATTGGACAAAATTATAATAAGAAAATGGAACCGCTCAATATTTATAAATTATTAAATTTATTGTCATTCAATAACTTTTATCTTGTTTAGTGGTGATATATGTAACATGTTGTATTGAGGTTGTTGATTGCGTAAACTTGGTTGAGGGGAATTAGCACATATCACACAAAAGGAGAATCGATATAACTTGCAAAACCAACATAATAACGCACCGGTGTGGTGCTAGGTGCCCATTGTTCCAATGCTTAATTAGTTAGAATCGAAATTTGTATGAAGCTAATTAACATCAAATTAGGGTTTCTCAGAATACCTCAATTTTGAGTATTCAGTATTCATTTATAGAGTGGAAAACTTAGAGTTATTTTGAGTATTCAGTATTTATTTATAGAGTGGAAAACTTAGAATTATTGGGACATCTTATGACCTCTTTTGAATTCTTAAATTGGGATCTTGAATTTATCAGTCTTCTTATCACTCCTTAGTCTTTATATCTTTTTAGGAGTTTTTCAATTCAAGGTATCTTTATTGCTTTTGTCCGAGAGCTTCGGCGTTGGTTAACTTATATGGATCATGGCCCAAAGCGGACAAGAATAGCTTGTAGGCAGGCCAAAGGGCTGGTCTACCTTGATTGGTTGGCTGATGACCAACCAGACTAGCCTGTGGGCAGGTTAGCCTCGACTGGTCAACCAAGGACCAACTAGACTAGCATGTGGACAAGTCATCCTACAGATTGGTCGATCAAAGGCTGATCAGACCGACCCGTGGGCAGGGTCAACCCACACAGTTGACCAAACAGAGCCATAAGCAGGTCGGCCCATGAGCTACAACTCGTGTATTTTAACTCTTTTTAGTCGTGAACAAGCCTCTAACTTGTTATTTGTCGACTTTGGTTCATTCTCTCGATCTTATTTTATTTTATCCATAACCGAGGTCTTGCATTCTATATTGAAAGAGTGTTAAAAGTTATTAAATTTACAATAATCCTTCAACTTAAATTTTTAGGTCGATTCAAAGAAAAAAAAAACTTTTAAGGTTAGATGATTTAAGATGTATGACTATAATTAAATGCTTAAAATATTACCCCAGTAAAATTTATATACCTATTTTATGCTTTTTTTTCTTTCTTTTTTCTTTCTCCTTAAAGGGGCATAAGTTCAACCCAAAGGTGGATGAAAGTAACTGAAACCAATTTTGAAATGGAAACTGAACTAATTTTAATAATCTCAGTTTATTACCATCTTTAGCATACAAACATTATAAACGTGAAACAATTATAACTTTTGACTCCTAAAAGAAAGTTATTAATGTTTTAACCCTGTTTAAATGAATAGATTTGTCTTTTTTTTTTTAGTAAAATATATAACTTACTATTTTTTTTTTGTGGCATATAGGTGTTTCTAGTTCCACTATTCTCAGCTCAGATTGGCATTAGTTGATTTATCTAAATTGGTAGGATGACTACAAATTTCTTTGAGATATTTACATCATTATTATAAAATAAATATGAATCTTCAAATAAAGTAAAAAAGTTGAAATTTTTTCAAAAAAAAGAAATCATTTGGATGCTACTACCGTACTATCAAGAGGATTAGCTGCCAAAGGTATCTATCCAGCAGTAGATCCTTTAGATTCAACGTCAACTATGCTACAACCTCGAATCGTTGGTGAAGAAYATTATGAAACTGCGCAAAGAGTTAAACAAACTTTACAACGTTACAAAGAACTTCAGTATTCAGATCAAATTTAAACTCCAATATATTGAAGATTCACACCTATGTTATCTTTAGAAAGAATAGAATTGTGACTTTATGAAAATACATTCTAATTTATGCTGAAATTTCACTATTCTTTAGTTATAAGTTATAACTTATAWCGAGAGTGAATCATTTATTCAAAAAGAAATATAGGATGGTTTCATCTCCTCCCCATAAACTGAATAACATAAATATTTTTCATTTATTTAGGTAATAAATATTAGGTTAAATATACTACATCATCTCTAATCTTTTAGTCAATTCTCAATTTGGTTCTTAATATTTTAATGCTAAAATCTTGTTAACAAAAAACACTTGTATCACATTATTTCATTAACCAATTTTGATCTAATTTAGACATATCACTGGAAAAGATAGATTTTATTAATTGAGAATATTTAACGCACTAAAAGTAAAGTTGAGAATTACCGACGAATTAATGAGTATTATGGTAACTTATATACTTGAGAGGTTATTTCAGAGTTGATATGGTGTGGAAGAAGCCTAAAGAAATGGAGAGTTTTTATTTTAGAATGTATGATGTGGATGGATGGAGTCAACGGCCATGGCGCGTAACAGCAAACTCGGTCGTTGAACCAGCCAAATTCATGGTGGGCCACAATTTTTGGCAACCTCATCTCCCCTTTATCTTTTTCATTAAATTATTTCTAATGCGTTGTAATCACAGACACTAAAGAATAAATCTTCTTTTCAATTCTATTTTTGTAACAATTCTTTGTCCCAAATTCGAACATAAAACTTCCACTACCCTGCGGCAAAAGGGGGTCCAATCCGATCCCCTTTGATTTTCTCCTCTATATTTCTCCCCTCTCCGGCCGCCCCTTCTTCCCCCCTCGAGTTTTCTGAGGCTAACGCTTTTGGGGTTCATTAATTTGGCTCTGTTCTTCGCAGATCCACCATTTCTACAGCCCCTAATCTCAGGTATGCGATTTTATCTCAATTTTGTTTCACATTTCCCAGCTCTCACATCCCAGATCATGATTGTTTTTTTTTCTTAAGATCTTTGTCGCCTTCTTCCATTGTTAAACAGTCTGATTTCTGGGTTTATTGGAATGAGATTCATGTTTGTTCATTGTAATTTTGTATTCCAGTTATGGATGGGTGATGGAAGTTTAATGTTAATCTCTCTCTGATGATTTGAGGGGCATCTATTTTTTATCTAACAGGACAGAGAGGGGAAGTTAGGCGCGAGGGTTGGGTGGAAAAGGGGTCGGATCTAATTCCAAGGGCTTAGCTATGTCTTTCACTGGCACACTAATAAAGTGCAAGGCCTGTGAGAAGACTGTCTACCCTGTGGAGCAGCTCTCTGCCGATGGAGTTATCTATCATAAGTCTTGCTTCAAATGCACCCATTGCAAAGGAACTCTAAAGGTATATTGCACTTTGTTTATAAGATTTCTTAATCACCTCTAATCTCAAAAGTTTATGTTGAGAAGCTATGGTGCATTTTATTGTTTTATATGTATTCTTAACATGAGATCCGACGAGTGACTATTATATTAATTTGGAAGGAAGGAGATGACGTTATTGGAGTTTGAGTTCAGAAGCTCTGATACCGTATTAAATTACCACTTAATCCAAAAACACTTAAGTTGATAAGTTATGGTCTATTTAATTATTTATACTGTATTCTTAACAAAGATACATCTATCTTGAGTTTTTGCTTTCTGCCCAATTTACAGGGAATATAATGTATCTTGCCAAACTATTTGTAAAGGATGTTTAAAATTTGGTATCAACTTGTGTCTCAAGTGTCCATCTGCTGGTATATCACAAGTAAACACAACAAAGTATAGGAGTTACATCAAAGGTTTCAAATTATGGTTACAATTGGGACATGGCAATTAAACAATAAATAGGAGCTAAAAAATCTAATTTAACGACTTTCGGTCTTGTACCGGATGATTGCGAGTTTTTCTGGAAGGATTGGAAGGTTGTTTTTGTTATGAAGATTGGAATCTATCTTACTGTTTGACCTTGTTCTTTGCTTGCCTTCAGCTGAGCAATTATTCTTCAATGGAAGGTGTTCTGTACTGCAAGCCTCATTTCGAGCAGCTCTTCAAAGAGACAGGAAACTTCAACAAGAACTTCCAATCACGTACGTTCTTGTCTTCTTTCCGGAAAACTTGATGTTTCACTTCACAAAAATTTTGCTTTATGTTTAATTGTTTTTGAGTTTTGTTTTCAACAGCTGCAAAGTCAGCCGACAAGTTAACCCCAGAGCTGGTAATTTCCTGCTGTAATTTGTTATGATTCGATCTTGAGGAGATTTCTCCACAAGGACATAAAATTATGCTGTGTATTGCAACTGATTCTTGTAACCAATAATTGGTTTCAGACTAGATCACCTAGCAAAGCTGCTGGCATGTTTTCTGGGACTCAAGACAAATGTACTACTTGTGGTAAAACTGTTTATCCACTGGAGAAGGTAAACCACTTAGTGAGATCTTGACAAATAACAAATTTTTGCTCGATGGATATATTTGAAACGGTTATGAAAGTTCAAGGATAGTATTGAAACTTTTGAAAGGATAGAGGTATTTTAGATATCAGTTTTGGCGTGCGCTACCATTTTTCCAACAACCCCACATCAAAAGAGAAAAAAAAATGCATCAAATCCATGGCTATTGATTCATAAATTTGATATTTGCAAAGTTTGTAGAGCATTTTAGACGAATTCGTTATTACAAATACTTGCAGGTAACAGTTGAAAGCCAATGCTTTCACAAGTGCTGTTTCAAGTGCTCTCATGGAGGGTGTGCTATATCCCCATCAAATTATGCAGCTCTAGAGGGTATTCTATATTGCAAACACCACTTCTCCCAGCTTTTCAAGGAAAAGGGAAGCTACAACCACCTGATCAAGTCTGCATCCATGAAGCGTACCGCTGCCTCCGTTCCCGAAGCTTGAAGTTCTAATCCTTGCATCATCATTATTCACGGTTTCGGGCCTAACTCTCTATATACCTAATGTGTTTAACTTAAAAATTTATGGTTTTGAGATGGGAAGAGGGAAAGGAAAAATTTATATATATATATTTACCATCATTTCGGCTTGTGTGTTTGTTTGGGCCAAACTGTTGCTTTTGATCGATATTTGAGGTGGAAACTTTATATATGGTTTACAGAACTTGCATATTCACATGTTGAGCATTATGCATTCTGTTTCCTTGCATTAAAAAACCTTATATATGGTTTACCGAACTCTCCATCTTTCTTTAAGCCTTTCTTCACCTTCCTGTAAGCCCAGAAAGCTGCAGATTGAGTGCCCAAAAATGGGGAAAAAAGGGTCAAAGGGTGGGATGCAATTATACGCTGGAATTAAATTTTTATTATGGTGACATTATTGTACCAGACTCATTCAGACACGTGTTTTTGGAAATAATTACAAAATATTTCTTTCTAAACTACTTATAACTCTGATACAACATGTAATTAATATTCATTTTATCAGTGTAATGGTGGAATATACGTGGACAGAAAAATTAGTAAGAAAGCATTTATTCAAAGTAAAAGTGGAAGCAGCACATAATTTTAAACTGTGAGAGAAGTAAAAAAGAACTAGAAAGAAATATGTGATGAATATAATTCAATTGAAGTTTAAATATTTCTCATTTTTAATTACCTTTATAAAGAGTTACAGCGTCGTTCCTTTGTTGTCTTTCAATCTTCAAAGTTTAAGAAATAATTTTAAATGGGTCACGATTCACCTCCAAGAAAATGAGATTGAGAAATAATTTTAAATTGGTCACGATTCACCTCCAAGAAAATGACATGATACATACCATGTTATTTAATTGATGAGGTAAAGTTCTTTAGTTTTTATGTTCTAATTTGCTTGTTCGGTAACGCTCCTCATTTTCTCTCCTGGGTCAGCTCCCATTTCTTCACTTTTAAAGATTTTATTCTCCTCTCTTTTCCAAATGTTCTACTCATATTTTTCTGTAATATTAGTGACAATGTGAGTAGAATAAGAATATGCATCAAACAAGAAGAGGAGAGGACAGAGAGAGAATGCTAAGAGCAGAGCTATGAATGGTTCTCTTTAATTAACAATATAACAAATGTTAGCAGCAAAATGATTGTGTAGTCACCCAATTATACAATGCCTCCTCCTGATCCTTAAAAGAATGAGAATATTTCTCCATAGCTGAGTTACAGAGAGTTATGCTGTGTCACTTATTTCACTTTCTATTCCTAAACTATTCCCTCCCTTTGTTGCTAATACAATAGAAGAAGCCGCCTTTCTATGCTTCTGAGATAAAAGCAAACATATGAAAACAAGACCAAAAATTTTATGGCACCAATTGCTAAGCATGCAATGCAGCCACTACTACTTGGTGCCCTTAGCTGCAAGCACGTTTTCCATTGATTTGGAAACAAAACAAACTATGGCAACTCACTTTGAGCTTTGGCATAGTCAACTCTTATTTGTTCGTTTCTTCGCTTCGCTGTAGAGAATAACTCCCATGACCGTGAGTGTGTAACCGAACATTCCAGTAACAGAGACGGGATTTCTAAATATTAAAATGGACACGACGACAGCTACAGCCCCTTTTGCATTTCCTAGTACCTGAAAGAGTCAGAAAACGAATGAGAATTCATGCATGAACTGTGGAACAGAGACATAAGAAACAGAGTAAGTTTGGAAGTTTCATGCAGGCCCATGTGAACCCTGGCATTGACAGGACTTGAGTAAAAAAATGACAAATTTGAACTTGCTGCTACCAAAAACATGGCTGTCGACCTTGATTGGTTGTATCAATGCATAAAAAGTGGGATGTTAAGGCTTGACGCAAAGAAACTACAGCCTCTAACAATACTCAAACTAGAGATTCAACCTTTCAGGAATCTGGAGGTTGATCCCTACGAGTGCATCCCTTTACCCACACTAGCTCAATAGAAAAGTAGGACTGTGCTTATCTAAGGAAATCAGAAATAGCTCCCGCTTCATCCAATACAGAAAATCCCAAACCCAATAGTTGGTCACGGTCTTCTAGTTCAATCAATAACCATTCATAGAAAACCATTTGGGATTTGCCCCAGCCATAGGATAAGCTAGGAAACAATTGCCCAAATACAACAAATAAGAAAAACTGCTGCAGATATATCAAATACATTAAATTTACAATATCTAGATGTCATTTTAATCTTTGACTCTACTAGTGAAATAACATAGTATCAGAGCAAAATGAAAAGACTCTACAATGATATTTCCTTCTCATTTAGTATTAATAGTTCATGTGTTAGATAGCCACCTCACACAAAATGGAAAGTATTGAGAACATATCAAATGAGTAATCTATCAATTTATACTTTTGGAATGATCTAATAAAAACTTTGACCTTTTGTCCATTGACAAGAAACTTGACAATCGTGTTTCACTTCAACAATGAAATCATAGTTTTTTTTCCGTCAGTGCAGTCAATGTCTCAATCAAGGACACAAAGTTGGACAGCGAACTAGTTCCATAAAATAAGATTCTAAATAAGTTTTAACTTAAACTCAGGCGTATTCTGAACAATAGCAAGCATCAGTATACAAGAAAAATAGAAATTTACCTGAAGGGTCAGCGCACTGGTGTGTTTGGTGACCAGAAAATTGGTCAGATTTACAAAATATGCTAGTGACGAATTGAAGAGAAGGTACCAGATGATTTTGATATCATCTCTCGCAAGAGCTAGTGTGATACCAACCACATTATCTTCCATAATAAGTGTTGCAGGGAGCAAGAAAACAACAGCCATAGGAGCCATATACAAAAGGAGATTCATGGAGTTCAGCTTCTCTCTGGATAAGATTAAAGGCCGTTTAAGAAAATTAGATAATTGACAACTTATCTTTTAAAAAGAACTACAATGATATCAAATAGAAGAGAAATTTAAGAAATATTCATACCCTTCTGAAGAAAGCAAAATTCCTTGGAGCACCGATTTGAGAGCTCTTGCAGCGGTAGCTGCAACACATATAAGAAACCCAAATAGATGGAAACTCGGTTCACCCTGTTGCCATGGAAGAACAACAGAGGCAATTACCCTCTTTATTTCCATACTATTTTGACGAAATGGGAGAACAACAGGAAAACAGATAAGAAATTGAGAAAAAATAACGCAGTGACCAAAGAAGCACAGACACCACCAATGGCGTCGGTCTACCCTTAAATCTCCAACAAACAAAAACTAATAGAAGACTGAAAAGGTTTCCTCGACTAACAAACAGAAAGCTTCATTAAACTGATACACTGCTAAGTAGGGATAATCCCAGCTCAAGTCCAAATAAATAAGATCCTAAACCTCAATTTCCAAATAGAGTATTCCGCTCCCATTCGGATATCTTGTTCACAGGTAAACGGGTACAGAAATCACCTCCCTCCACTCCAGAATACATGCATAAGAACAGAATAAAGGGTATCTGTGGAACTGTTTCGCCGTTAAAATTAACATTATCTAGTTTAACGAAAATAACTGCATAAACTCATAAAGAATAGAAGACCAAATTTTAGAGTATTGTTAGAAGAAAGATGGAAATTGGCATGAAAACAGCAACAAAGAAAATAGTGGGAAATATATAGAAAAGAAGAGAGTTCATACCCCGCTGGCAATGACAACCCCGGTGACAACAGGAATGAGAGTGACATAAGTGAGCCAAGCCTCCCTCTTGAAGGTCATCAGGTAAGCAAAAACCGCGGTGAAAAATGGGGTGGTTGCTCCAACAGCCTGGTTGAAAGAGACGGGCAAATAGCGAAGGGAAATGTTGCCGAAGACAACGGAGATGCAGAAGATAAAGCTGAGGGCAGAGATCTTGAAGAATTGGATGCGAGATCGAATGGTCTGAAGAGGGACGACCTTCAACCAAGCAATAGCGACGTAGCTGAGCAGAGAACAAGCGGTCATGTGGCACATGGTGAGGAAGATCGGGTACTTGAAACCATAGTTGCTGAGCAAATACTTGTTGAGCAAGAGGACCCCAATGTTGGAGGAGTACCAGGCGGCAACGAGGCCGATCGTGAACAAACGACTCGTACCCTTCATTTTGGGAGGTGGGTGTTGATTAAAAGTCTGTGATTTTTAAACAGAAATGGAGGGTTGAGTTAAGTGGAGGAGTATCTGTTAGTTTCCGGCAGAGCAGGGATCTGGGCATTGGCCTGAATGTAGTTGTATACCCCCAATAGAACAGAATATAGATAAAGGGAAAGAATGGGGATTGCAGCCTGCAACAGCTGCAGGGATCTAACAGAAACGAAACGGGGCCTTGGGGGATTTGGCGATAAAGAGAGAATGCGTTACAGAGGGAGAGAGAATGAAACAGAAGCGTTTAAATTGTGTTAAGAAGGTCGAGTTTTGAGGATGAACGACGAGCAATGAATGTGCCTCCGCACACACAGTTTCCCTTTTTAAAAGCTTAGGAAAATGCGTTGAGATTGTGAGCCAACCCAAGGGGGAATCCGCCAATCCTCTTCTATTTCACAATCTTTTTTATTTGCCTTATTATTATTTTAATTCCCACTTTCTAAAAATTTTTAAGAAAATTCAGATAAAACATGTTTCTATTTTTTCGTATTATTGTTTCTGTTTCCTATTAAAAACTAAAAAATCACTCTATATCAAAAAATATTTTCTTATTTATATTTTAAAACCTCATTTTTAAGCACCCAACCCAACTTTTTACAACTTTTTTTGACACCTCTAACGCCCACATCCTCTAATATATGAAAACGAAACAATCAAATACTAGATTTTTAATGTTTAACAAAGAGTATTAAAATAATCAATAATAAGGAAAGGATATTTAATTTATTGGGCTTTTTGGGCCTATTTTCTTCTTTCAACAAGTGGAAATAGACGTACTCATACCAATTCAATTAACTCGTTGCTTGTGGGTATGGGACTATTATTGAATACTTTTCTTAAATGTGCAATTAAAATTTAGACTTTTTTTCTATATTAAAAGAATCTGAGTGATATAGTAAGATTCATAGTTTTTTAATTAATATATTTATTATGAAACTTAGTATTTACTTATCAAAAGTTCAAAAATAAATATCAATTTAATGACATAAAGTTGTCTTTTGTTATGCGACTTCTTTCATCAAATTGAAAAAGCAACTGCGAACTTATTTCACAAGAATTTGGCAGATCCATATTTGTATTTGGTGCAGTTGACCTTACTTAAAGGCTCCTACTTTTCTTCCATCAGAGGATCTGAGAAGCGTAGTGGTGTGGAAAGAAAGATCATTTGAAATTTTCGAGAGAGAGATAAGTAATTGTAACCTGTGTGTTTGGCCATGTGGAAAGCCATGGCGTCGGTTGACCTTTAGAAATCTCTGCAGATCCGCCATAACTTCCTGCTGTCGAACTGGAAGCTCTAAATTTTCTAAACCCACTTTTGCTTCGAGATTTGAACAGCGACGATTCATGACCCACATGTTGTCTTGAGGAACAAATTAATGTCTTGCTCCATCGCTGCTTCCTCTCTGAAACAAACACCCAAAATGAAAATCACCACTCCACAATGATCTCTTGGGAATTACCAACAATCAGCACATAAAACTAATAAACACCAAAAAGAAACAGAGAATTGGGATCTTCTGGCTTGATCTCGATGACCCAGAGCGAATGATTTAATCAGCAAACAAACAAAAACTACAAGGGAAAGCAAGTAAAAAACAAGAGAGAGATGATGGTGGATACTGTTGAAGGGGGAAAGTATTGCAGAAGATGAAATTAGTAAGATCTGTGTCATCTGTGAGGAAAGTGGTCTGATCTCACTTCAACATCCGCCGAGTGGCCGTCGCCGTCGGGCTGTGTCCGAAGGCTGGACTCCCTAATTTCTAATTTCTAAGGGGCAGTGGTGTGGTCGGCTAGTACTGCCAGAGACTTCATACGTGGCGAGATGCTATAGGCTGGTTCTGATGGGGCCTGTCAGATAGTGAGAATTTGCAACGAGGAGAGTGAGCGGATCAGAAAATCCTATGGAATATTCATTCTACCGTGGCAATGTCGACAAGGATTAAGGAGGGTATGGTGGGATCCGCCAACACAAACGAGAATATCATAATGAATGCAGCCCACATTTCTCGACAAGTTCCAAGTTGAGTACTTTTGGATGCTTGGATCATTAATTACGAGGAAAATTTTCATTTTTAACTCGTTTCCTTGAAAAAAATTTGTGGGGTTGGATAATTGCTGAAAGATCCAACAAATGAAAATTATAATAAATGAGGACGAGACAACAACGTAAGATTCGAATATAAAACCTCCGCTCTGATACCATCAGAAAGATGAATAAACCACCAACCCACTCGACCGTTAATAGATTAGATAAATTTAATTCATTTAACAAGACCGACCTAGTTGTATAATTGTATTGGTACCAACTTTTGTGGGTTTAATGGTGATGGCATCCATCATCTATTTGTTCGGATTTAAACTTATTTTGATTATTTGATTTTGTAAGAATTATTTGATGGATAATATATGTCTTAATCAGTAGAGTTAACTAAACTTATCTTCCAGTGGGCTTAATCTTTAAATAATTTTTCAACTTAATTTTGATTTGATGTGGTATAATTAAGGGTGATTTGGTTCCTAATGAAAAAAACAGTGATAGCAATTGTCGTTATGGGTGTCTGTATATATGGTCAACCCAAACAACCTTTTAACTGTTTATAAGATCCGACCCGATGAATGTTGATTGATTGGCAATGGGATTGAGACAGACCTTCGGTTTGCCACCGAAGATCACATGGGCTTTGATTTTCTACAACTGAGGCAAGAGGACTATCAAATGCAAGCGACCAATTTTGTAATCAAAATAAATCTCGAGTTTAAAAACACACCCAAAACTGAAATCAATATTCTGCCATTGCAGACTACTAATCAAGCTTAACATCAAATGGTCATCAAAATCTTTAGTGCCGTCGAAACAGAACAATGTAAGAAAAAACAAAGACATGCCATCCGAAGCCTTGGAATCAGAGCTCTAATAAGTTGACAACAATACTGACGGCAAGGGACTGTAGTTAAACTTGAATCCTGATATGGATAACAATGTGATATCTTGCTCCTGACTTGGATCATATTGTGATATCATCGTCTAGCGTGTAAGAATAATTCTAACACTCAAGAACTATTGAAAATAGACTATGGGAAGGAATCTTGGGTGAAAAATAAAAAGTTATGTAACACACCTCCTTCTAAACAAGCACAACCAATTTCGAACCATTTTTCTACCAGATGAATAAATACTGACGATACTCCTTGATTTAGAAGTGGAAGAATCTCCTTGATTCCAGACGAGGTAGACTTACTTTGGCTTGAGGTTGTGCTTCCTAGTATACCTACCTACTTTCTCTCGATTTTCTAGATCCACATTATTAATGCCAAATGTATTGATGAAATCTCTTTTGGGAAGGTAAGCATAAAGTTGAAGGTTTTCATTTATCTAATTGGATTAAAGTCTCATGTCTGAGAGAGTTTGAAGCACTTAGCTTTGGGAATATATTTAGAAATAATGAGGTGTTGTTGCTTATGAAGTGGCTTTGGAGTTTCCCTTGTTGAGAAGCCTCTTCCAGCAGCCCCAAGTTACCCTTGGCAAATTTATCTAGTCAGTTTTTCTAGAATACCAAATTTTGATTGGAAGATGGATCTATAGTAAGGTATTTTGGTTGGGTACGTGGACTACAGGTTCTCCTTGCTCAATTTTTTCCTCGCCTTCATAGATTAAAAGGCTCAAAACTTTTCTATTTATCAATGTTGGAGCCCTTCCTGTGAGTCTTGTGTTCTATTTTCCTACAAATCCTTCTTTGTCAATCTCGCAGATTACTAGCAACTCCTTCTAAGTGAACTATGGAAATCAAAGCATCCTAAAAATATCAAAATCACTAGCACAAATGATTAAGTTCTCCTACTATTCCATCTCCAACCGAATTGGTACTCACTTTGTAGAAGATCTCACAAAGACAGACAGTTGTATTCACAATTCTGGCTTGACTTCAGTGTTCAGATGATCTACCCTAGGTTGCAGAGAATGGCCGCCTTTCCTGACTTTGTGGCGCTAGTTTAGGGGAAAAGGCCAAGGCACTGTAGTCAAATAATATAATATAGGGTATTTGGAATATTTGGTTCGAGCACAAAAGGAGAACTTTCAACGATGTTCTAAAGATCCAAGTGAGATTTAAGAACCCATAATTATTGTTACTTCCTTTTGGAGTTCAGGTTCTAATAATTCCACAATTACTCCCTCTATTTCCTCCAATTGGAGAAGTGTCTTTCTGTAATCTTTGGAGTTCCTTGTAAATTTCAATTTCATCAATGAAATGATTGCTTCCAGAAGAAAGAGATGGAACAACCTAAAGATAATTACTCCAGAATAGACAGCGTTAAAGGTAGCTAAATTACAGCAACCCCCAAGAACAAAAAGCAAACAACTATTGAATACAAACACCCAACACAGTAAACAAAAAACAAACAAACAAAATTGAGAAAAATATGGTAGCAAAAAGTCTACGGATTTTCCTGCGAACTCGTACAATTAAACACCACAAACATGACGTTTAACATGAATGTTCACATTTCACACCATCCACTCTCGAGTAATAATGTTGTAGAAGAGAGTGGGAGTCCAAATCAGTAACATGCAAAGAAAGATTGTACCTGATATTTTTGCTAGGTACATAAATACTGTGACTCTACCGCCCTGTGAAATTATCCAGAAACTCAGTCAAAAATACAAATCCCAATACACCACCATTTTCACAAATATTTAGAGAGAACTATTTTTTCCGCTAAACCTCCTTCTTGGTATTCCTATTCACACATTCAATCAGAACCAGCGATAATGTTCTTGGATGCTTCTTTAACTTCGACCTAAACGCCAATTATTCATTCTCAACTCCAGGACAAATTAAGAACCCTAGTAACACTAACTTAAATTTTCATTTCAGTCGAATCAATTTTCTCAGCATCCAAACAGGAGATACCGAAGACTTGAAAGTATCCTTTTCTCGTCATTTTCTCTTCCGTTAAGAGGGGGCTAAATGCATATACTAAGCAAGGCTAAAGAAGAATCAAACCATCAAAGCGAAAGCCGATCGCCTCTCGAAGCCGAAGACCGTTCCTCTGACGTAGAGTCTGGAGCAACAACAAGATATTAGCATGGACACCATTAAATAGGGTCGCACCATGGTTTGGAAAGATACCTGACTCTTTCTCCCTGCCTTTCCTTCTTCACCATTTTCGTTCCCCACTCCGATTTAGTGATGTCAGAGAGTAAATTCGACGGCGCCTCGATAAGCCCATCTCTAGGGTTCATGTAAAAAGTGAAATTCCATGGCCCATGAACTTTTTACAGACTCAAAATTCCCCAATCTCTTCGCTCTTCTCCTATCCGTATCACCTTTTCGTGAGGATCACGAAGAGAGATTCAGAGGTGTGGAAGCGGAGCGCCGCGCGGATGGACAATGGAGACATCAGCGGACAATAATCCATTAAGGTCTCTGTTGTAGAGAACAAATCCATTTTTGGTCGCAGTGTGACAATCAATTGGGGGTAGGGAATTTCCAGAAAAGATGAACTCCAGAAAAGGGATTTCGTAAATTAAAGTTTGGCGCCAAATAAGTTTGAAATATTCGAGTTAAAAGAACTAAATTGAAGTTCAATGGCCAAGTTTAATCACTAAATTTGTTGTAATTTTAGCAGAACTAAGTGGGGTGGAAATTCAAAATCAATACCATGTTACAAATTGAGAGTACATAGATTCAATTATTACAAATTAAAATTTACTACTAAAACGTTAGTTTCATAAACCAAATCTGTTTTTTATCATTAATTATTCATGCAGATGATTTTTTTTTTCCATTTTGTTCTATATTTCTTTTAGGATGTTTATCTCATGAGTTTTTTTTTTTTAATCAGGATATTATCTTATGAGTTCAAATTTTATATACTAATCATTTACATAAAGAAAATGAGAATCAAGAAATGAAATTAATTAATAACACTCACCTCAAAGTTGTATACTATTCGTCTTAAATTAATCTCATTCATATCCTACAATCTCACAGATAATATTCTCATTTCTTATTCAAGATTAGATTCCTAACTTTTTAATTAATATTTAACAATCTTATTATATCTTTATCAATTTATACTACCAATAATTTTTATTCTAATAAAAATTAAAAAAAAAATCTTACTATTGAGTTACTATCTTTATATTTATGTTGACCACGGTTGAAAATTTGACTCATTATTTTTTTTATTGTTTTTTATATTTCGCTTCCTTAATTATCAAACAATACAAAATAGATTCTCACTACATATTTTACATAACATTTATACTTAGTATAAATTAGTATCAACAAAATTTTTAAAATATAATTCATTATTATTAAATATTACAACAATAAAATTTATTACTATTTTACATTAACAGAGAGTTGTTTTAATAAAAACTATACTAACACTTTTTTTAGTTAATGTAATTTTAATTTAATTATTTATTATGTGTTAATATTAAAATAAATTGTTATAATAAAAAAGGATTGGCTCTCAATAAAATAATAATAAATTTCTTTTTTTTAATTTAAAAATGAACGTTAGCATAATTTGTGTTAAAAATAACATTCCCGTTTTAATCTGCGTCATTCAAATTTCTATCACAATTCCTAGTAAGTAAACATGAGTATTTTATAACCTCCAATCTCCTTTCTTTTTCTTTATAAAATATTTGCCAAAAGTCATGATCTTGAATCTGGACAATAAATTAAAAAGTCATCCTTTTAGACTATACCCAAATAATTTTATACAAACATCAAGTTTCATAAGCTAAAACACTTGAGACCCACCCAAATTTACGTTCATTAAAATCATGAGCGAAACATTGTTTAATCCAAGTAAAAATGATGGTGATCATATATCCTTAATTAGAACAGATCACATTTAGAACAGATCAAAAGAAAAGGGTGGAATGGCGGCCTCCTCTGTTCCTCAAATTTCGGCTCCCACCATTCCCCCACAACCATTAAAACTCCATTTCCCCAATCAAAAACCGTCACCGGAAAATTCAATTTTCCCCCATCTCTCTTTTTTTTTTTTTTTGCTTTCATGTCCAGCTCTGATAACCCAAATTCATGCGCCGGAGATATCCACTTCATGCCGAGAAGACGGGTAATCGAAAGTGGCGCCTCCGAGTTCGACCATGAGGACGGTGCCAAACTGCTGCCCGCCGTCGCCGACGATGACGTCAAACACGCCGCCTCCTTCCGCCGCCACGTCCACCGCCACTGGCTGCAGGTGGCCGGCCGCCCGGGCTGCTGCCTCTTGCTTCTCGCCTTCTCTACCATTTCTCTGTTCGTTAAGTTTATGCTGCTCAATTCCTTTGAGGAAATGCGGCTCACCAGGTCCCACAATATTGGGGGCCGCGCCGGAAATTTCATCGTCCGCCACAAAACGCTCTACCAACCGTATAGTGCTTTGACCGGCGGTGATGATTCCGCCGCCGTCGCTCAAAATCAACCAGACCCATTGCCGGAAAAGCTTCAGGTTAGAATCCAAAACTGTTTCTCCCCATTATAATATAATATTTTGATTTTTTCAATGAAAAATTAATGTAAAGTTTTCTAAACGGTTTTGGAAGGAACTGACTAAAAGACAAAAAATAATTAGAAAAAAACTTAAAAGCCTTCTTTGACAAAACGGAGATAACAAAATAAAGAAATTCAGAGGTGAATTCTTAGTGTTTATAAACTTAATTTTCAAAAACAGAAAATTGAAATAATTATCAAATACGTTTTTGTTGAGGTTTGTGTTGAGAATTTTAAAAATTTAAAGATGTAATCTAACTTTGTTCTCCATGGAAGATGTAATCTAAAATTTTGTATTGGTTTATGGTAGTCAGATTCCGGAGATATGGAAGCAGCCAGAAAGCGAAGACTATTACAAATGCATCAATGTAACAAAGAAGGAACAATGTGAGTAATTAACATAATTATTTTCATTTATTTGTTTATTATTGATCTTCTGAAATAAATTATGGGTTAATATCAGGGAATGATACTGAAACAAATGGCTACCTTCTAGCTCGAGCCAATGGCGGATTGAATCAGATGAAAACTGGGGTCTTCAACTTCAACTGATCTCGTGCACAATCATTAAATTTAATTTTGATCAACTTTTTAAGCAATATTCTACAAAATTTTCTTAAGCTGATTGCTTAATTTGTTCGTTTATTTATCATAATGTGCAGATAAGTGACCTGGTTGCTATAGCAAAAATCATGAATGCAACTCTTGTTCTTCCTTCTTTGGACCACAGATCCTTCTGGACAGACTCGAGGTCTATTTCCACAGCTTTCCCACGCATTATTTTGATGGTGTAATTAGGAGTTAATTAGCATCATTAAGAGAGATCAATTTAGGCTACAGCTCCCTTGACTTTAAATTCTTGTTATATTATACACTTTTAGAGTTTAAGAACTATTACACACTATTTAGAACCGGCTAGACACGATCTCTGCAAACAAAAAGCCAACGTACGGTAGAGGGAAATGGTAGATTTAGAAGTTGATTATTAAGAAGAATCCTTTTCTGCAGCGATTTCAAAGACATCTTCGACTGGCAAAACTTCATAGAAGTTTTGAGAGATGAAGTTCATGTAGTAGAGTCTCTCCCCTCAGAACTCGCTACTATCAAGCCCTTTGAAACTGCCCCAGTTTCTTGGTCCAAGGTATTCTTCACCCTGCATTCATTCTCTCTCTCTCCTGCACATTCTCTCTCTAATGCTATTACAAATATATACGTGCAGCCTCGTTATTATAGAGTGCATATGGTGTCCCTGTTGAAGCGTCACAAGGCGATTTGCTTAACCCACACCGACTCTCGTCTAGCCAACAACGGTGTTGCTGAATCGACACAAAAACTACGATGTCGGGCAATGTACAAAGCTTTAAGGTTTAATCCTGAGATCGAACAACTTGGAAACAAGTTGGCTGCTAGGCTAAGAAGTAACGGAAAACCTTATTTAGCTCTTCATTTAAGGTAAGAAACAAGATTCAAGAAAACCTTTCTGGGTTTACAATCAAATTGTTAGCAAAACCCAGACTTTCAGAGATACCAATTATCAACTTCCACGTACAAAAAAATTCAAATCCAAATGTAAAAGAAATCCATTTCATTTCATCCTCAACATCATGCATAAGATGTAATCGAAGATATCAAAGGAACTATATTTGATTGCAGATACGAAAAGGACATGCTAGCATTCACAGGCTGCAGTCACAATCTTACTGAAGCTGAGGATGAAGAGTTAATGAATCTAAGGCTTAACGTAAGACACTGGAAGGTAAAAGATATAAATGCAACCCAGCAAAGACTAATAGGGGAATGCCCCATGACTCCAAGAGAGGTAGCTGTGTTTCTTCAGGCAATGGGATATCCTTCTGATACAAATATCTACATTGTTGCTGGCAACATTTACAGCGAAAGCGGGATCGAACCACTGAAAGCTAAGTATCCTAATATCTTCACACATTCATCTTTGGCAACTGAAGAGGAACTGCAGTCTTTCAAGCAATATCAGAACCAGTTGGCTGCTTTAGACTATGTTGTAGCACTAGAGAGTGATGTTTTCGTTTACACCTATGATGGGAACATGGCTAAAGCCGTCCAAGGTCACAGGAGATTTGAAGGATTTCGGAAAACCATCAGCCCTGACAGGTATAGACAATAGGGAACCAGATTTGAATCCTAGATTACTTGAATGCTGTCCAATAAGTGGGTTACTCGTTACTAGTAGTTGATAGGAAGACAATTGAATTCTTTCAAATTTGATGAAGGAGCATGTCAACTAGAGAACTTAAATGTACTGGGTGAATCATCGCAACTTGTAGTTGAAACTAAAGGAAAAATCATTTAGAAAAAAGTTTCTATCTCAATTTCATCCTTTCAGGGTAAATTTTGTGGATTTAATTCTTTTCAGGACAAATTTTGTGGATTTGATTGATCAATTGGACAAAGGAGCGGTAAGTTGGGAAGAGTTTTCATCCAAAGTTACTGAATTACATAAAGAGAGAATGGGGTTACCATATCCAAGACGTCCCGGGAAGTCTTCAAAACTGGAGGAGAACTTCTACGCTAATCCTTATCCTGGTTGCATTTGCCGCAACTCTGATGGTGAGAAGCATCCCTCGAAGAAAAGAAACAAATCTTGAGGCTGAAAATCATCTGGCCGTACAGAGAAAGGCCATGGGATGTATACTTGGCACAGGAAAACTTCATGCTTCAGCAGCTACAAAAGAATGCAGGGCACTTTGAGAAATTGAAGCAGCAAAAATGAGTTCACTCCTGTTGTATAACAGCTGGAAAATGAGAAACCAGCCCTCAAGTAGATTAGTTTCTTCAAGGAATATAGTTATATGATTCTTTTCCCACCAAATTTTACCTTGGAATCCACTTACAATGTAACTATTTGAGTTTAGATATTTAAAAAGAAAAATACTTGCAGTAACAAAAATGTGATCTAAATTTTCATCTGTGCTTTCATACATTTCTTGCTTCTGTGTTATGGATAACATAAATGCGATACAACCAATCCAATCAACTATACCAATCAAGAAAGAGAATTGAAAAAGTGAGCACAAATAGAAAAAGAATAAGGAAGGTTCTGCTGCTGCTATTCCGCTGAATTGCTTGGGAAAGTTCTTTATTACCAAGCTCGACATTCTTTGTAGCTTCAACAGCCTAATTTGTATTTTAATGGGAAAAAAAAAAGAAATCAAATGGGAAGTTTAGAACTGTGTGATTGAATTTAATACTGAAAAACGATACAAGAAGGAAAGTGCAACTGTATTTAGCCATTGAGATTTGAGAATAATGCGAAAAGAAAACAAAGAAAGTTAAGAAATCCAACCTGTTCATAAAGAAATTCAATTTGTTGTGCTTGCTGCAAAACGTGGGTAGACATAAGGTGATTCAAAGCAGACATCTCAACCATCTTAGTTTCTGTTTCTTGGACTGCATCAAGAAGACTAGTCAACTCGACCTGCATAATTTGGAAAAAAACACCTTTTCGGTTCTTAACTTTTACAGACCGAGAGAAGAAAGCTTGTTTCGATTAACAATTGATAGAAATCTGATCAAAATCCCCTTCTCCATATTTAGATTACCTGAAGTGCACGAGTTTCATCATCCAACAGTTGTTGCTGTTGGGCTCGGACAGGTTCATGCTCAAAATTATTAGGTTCCCTCAGCTCCGTATTACTATATTCAAGGGTATTTGCAGAATGAGGTTTAGTTACTTGGTTTGGTTTTCTTCTTGGTACTGCTTTGTTTATGATATCTTGAAATCGAATGGCTCTTAGCTTATCAAATTGTGATGTTACCGAATGGAGTCTCTCACTCAAAATTAGTACCTGCATTTGAAAGAAGAGAACTTCAAATTCAGCAATGGAAAAATTACTAATTCTGGGAGTGTGGGAAGGATATTCTCACAAAAAAAAAAAGGATGGCAAACATTTCACTGAAAGGATATCTCTCATCTGTTGAAAAACGACTACTACTTTAAATAGATGACACTTCTACCAACAGTAAAAACCATGAAGGAAGCCCGGACCAGGGAGTTGATGGGCAAATTGGAGAATACAATGTTAAAGATTTAACTCAAATAGTTCAAGCAAGCAGTAATGTAGCAGGATAAATAATTTTCAATTACTTGAACTGTAGACAGGGCAACAACATTCGGTGACACTTTTCCCTCAAGGGTAAGTAGTTTGGAGAAGTGTGCCAGCTAGAACCATTAAAATAAACTAGTAGTAAAAATGAACAGAAAGAAAAAACAACACTCACCACCCCATGTTTGTGTGCAATAGTATCCGCATTAGCATCATCAGCCCTAACGCCAAGCCAGCCCTTTGAGTGTGTTTCATCCTCATTAATGTTATTTTTTAGAATATCAATTTGTTCTTGGCATGCTTTGATGAAGGCAGTTACCTGCATATAGTTACAATATACATATTTTGCATTTCTTTACGAGAATACATACATACAATAAACTATCCCAGCCAAAACTCAATAAAGTTCATATTAACATATTGACATCACAATGTGCCACACATCAAAATTACTTTTATAAGGAAAGATTAACCAATGATAGACAGAAATGCGAGTGTGTGTGTGCATTTTTTTTTTTGGTGCAAATATTAGCGTGTCTATTGAAATTACATTTTCACCAAACGTAAACATAAACAGAAAATCAAGTTGTTTCTATTCAGCAAACAAAAAGATGATAACTCTATCCAGTAGACTAGTTGAAGAAAAGCAGGGGAAAAAATAGTTATGCACTTCACCTTCATGAAAATCATACTAAATGACTTAGCATATCCACACAACGAACTATGAGCCTGATTAAAATATACTATCACCCTCAGACTGCAGAGTTCTTATTAGCCAAAATTTTTACCTAGAAATCCTATTCTCTCCATCTAGACTTGTATTCTAATATTGTACGTAGTGACTTTATTTTTATTAATGTCCATGAATGTCTGGACCAAATGGTGCATCTCGACTATATTCTCACATGACAATTTTCTCACCTTAATACATTTGGTCACTAAAGAAACTCATATCATATTAAATCTTAGGTAGAGGGTCACTACGGCTTGGTGATAATTAATTGATTACAACTAACTAGAAAAAGGTTGAAATCCCAAATATAAAATGTTGACAATAAAATTTGAATGATTTCCCAAGTAGTTCAACTCACCTCATGTTCAATATTGTCTCTCTCTTGATCTGTTGTGCGATACATATCTACATAGTCCTTTTGATGTTTCAACATAAACTCCTCAAGAGCACCAATACTTTCAAGCTAAACAAGTAAAGGAGTCAAATATGACAGTTGCATGTACATATACATTTTGTGTCACATAAGTATTATGAGTAAATTTTTGCACACATGTGGAAGTTTAATTCATGAAAGAAATCAATATTTGTTACAACTACGTCCTCATGGAAGGAAAAAAAGTTACAACTACTCCAATATTGATAATTCTACCGTTTTTAGGGCAGCTTTGACAAAAGGTGACCTTTGCCGAGGTTTTTGAATGATGAAAGATGCCATAATAGCCGCCAACTTGGACTGCAAAAGCATTTTACTGAATGTAAGGATGTTTTGAGAGAAACACTAAAACATTCAGAATTGATAACAAGAGGTTCTTGCTGTGGCAGCACAGAAACTACACCCATAGTTCCTGCTGGTAAAAGAAAATCTTCAATCAACTTGAAGAACATATAGAAAATTTAAAAGGACAAAACTATTGTAATTCACATATCTCATGCTAGAATTTGGTGTAGTCTGATCATTTACTAGAAAGAAAACGAGCTAATCTTTCACCAAAAATATACAGTCCAAATTTCTCATCAACAAGCAACTACTTACTTTGAGAAAATCGTACAAACCTCGTTATACCCTAATGAAACAGCACAATGCCGCACAACATCTTTAAAATCTTCAGTCCTATCCTTGAACTTTGCCATTCCCTTCTTGACGAAGCTGAATATTAAATTCAAACCGCATAAATGGCTTGAATGAATTATGGAACATAAAAGACATTTTTGAGAACTGCCAAAGGAAAGAAGACAGTAGATACCTTACTTTGCACCCACCTCGATTATGTATGAAGCCGTAATGGAAATATGGTTATCCCTATATCTTCACACCCAGGAGCGCGCTAGAATTACTATTAGAAGTCGAAATTCTAGATCAGCAAGAAACAAAAAATCATCATACAAAATTCAAAATAGAAATCCAAGAATCAGAATTCGTTTCCTTTCTACCTGCGTCAAAATTGGACTCATTTTGAAAAGTGGAACTGAAAAAATCAAGAGATATCTACACAATGGAAAACTGAAAAAGAAAACATGAATATATACCACAGCCATGAATAAGTTCCCGACATTGAATTCTGGATAACATACCCATTTGACTAAAAACACAGCATCAATAGGATACATATTTGCCAAATGACAGAAAACTGAAACTTACATTGTTGGATCACCGCGGAGGGAAAATGGTAGAAAAAGAAAGCAGGAGACTGAATACAAAATATGTAAATTCAACTGCAGGAGACGCTGATCCAACACGGGACCCGCAAATGGAAATTTTTAGGTCGCCACGGCCCGAGAGTCACTTCTTGGGATGAAGTGAGGAAGGAATCTAGCTCTCGGATCGTGGAACACGAATGGGGAAGAAGAGTGATTCTTCTCAACCACTCTAAACGGACCTCTTGAAGTTTATCGGTCGTGACGAGGGCTGAATATCGGTTCAGTCTTCTCGGTTCTTGCCTACATCGAAAACCGAAGCACGGCTAATCGAGCCGGCTGCTAACCGAACCGATCTTTTAGAAAGTTGCACTTTTTTCTCTCTTTAAGAAAACATTTCTTGAGATACAGAAATGGCAATTTTTAATCATTTTGAGTCAGATTCTGAATTTTAATATACCTCCATCTTAAAATAAATTGAAAGGAAAAAAATACTTCGTTATAAATACACTCACATATAATATAATTTTATAAATAAATTAAATAACCATATCAACAAAGAAAAAAATAGTATTTCTCACGAAGCCAAGTTTATAAAAAAAAATGATAAGGTATAAAATTCTAATAATTTTTTTTATTACATTGATAAGTAACTAATTAAAAGAAAATTTGTTAAAAAAAGTATACTAAATAACATAAAATAGATTAGATTTTTTAATGATTTTGAATTAATGATTATAAAAAAAAGATATTTAACTATAATTGATTTTCTAAAATTGATTTAATTACTGTTGATAAGTTTAGTCTGAAGTGATTTTCATATAATTAAAATTGATTTTTAATTATTCATGTTTGATTTTAAAAGTGATTTTAAAAATGTTAAATTCCTAAACATGGCATTATATTTGAGAAATTTAATCAAATAATTATTTAATTATTTACTATGATAAAAAAAATTGTTTTATATAATTAAATATATTAAAAAGAGGAAGGAGATGTCTATTATTCTTTTATAAAATAATTTTATTTTTTCATTTGCTTTATTTTTACATGTTAAAGTAAAAAACCCCTTTTTTCCTCCCTTGTGCGAGTATATAGTGTTAAGAAAACAGAGGTTTTTTTTTTATGAGATTACAATAACAATAACAATAACAAGTTATCATCTCAGATCGCACGGTATAAGCTATTATTTACCTTCAGATGCAGATTCCCACAGTTTTCTGCCGCTTCCGTCTCCCGCTCACGCTATCGATCCTCAATAGGCGATTCGTCGAAATTTCTTCGATCAATCGGAAGTCTTCGGTCGGGCTTAGAAGTGTGAGACTCTCCGTGCGGCTGATTTTCAAGAGAAAAATCACAGCAGAGAATGAGATGGAGACAGAAATGGGAAGAAGGAGAAGAAGAAAAAAATAATCGAATCAAAGAAGGAGAAGTAGAAAAGAAATCGAAGCATACATTACCGGAATTTTTTTCTTCTGAATGAGAGAAGAGTGAGGGACGAAACGAAGGAAAGAAGAAATGAGGGAAGCTGATGAAACCCTGGATGATGCCGCAGAGAAGGGAAGGGTAATTTTGGAATTTTAAACATTGAATTCTCTTTTTCTTTTTAATATTTCTATGGAATTTTTATGCTTTTCTAATTTCGAATCAATATTTTTAATATTTCTATGAAATTGAGACATATCCGTTTTCATCCAAATCCACATTTGGTTTATTTGCCAAACATCAACATTTTAAATGGGGTGATTTTGACGATAACAATCTTGATTTAGATTTTTTTGTAAAATTTTAAATTTAATACTACATATATAAAAACATATTCTTTTTTACTATTTTTTCTATAATTGTTCTACTTTGTAATCGAAAATTATATTTGCAAAATCTGAAATGAATTAAATTCAATACCTGTATTTTCTGATTTTGCGATGCAACTGTAACTGGGTTTGTAGGTCGGCGTTTTCTCCCTCTGGTTTCCCAGTTCACTCTGTAGAGTGCGGAGAAAGCCTTCACAGCCGCCCATTTCCAACTCCTTGGCTCTCCTCCGACCAGGTACCGGCTGTTTTTTCCGTCTTCTAAATCTTAATGAATTTCCTCGCCCGCCATTTTTCCTTCGTCAAAGATCTGCATCTTACATTTTGATTTTTTGGCCTGCTTTGAACTTAGGTTACGCTTTGTGCTCCGTTATCGCTTGATCAATTATTCGACTCACGATTGGCTACATGA